GAGAGAGAGAGAGAGAGAGAGAGAGAGAGAGAGAGAGAGAGAGAGAGAGAGAGAGAGAGTAGAACAGCTCCTTCCTCCCCAGCAGCGCAGCTACAACCAGCACTGCTCCAGCCAGCGCTCCAAGCAGTGTGTCGCCAAACTTGCACACCGTAGAATGACGGGGAGATCTTTGCTCCTCCAGAAGATATAGCGGCCTGCTTGCCTCTTGGGCGGTGACTTCCAGGCCGCTCGACCTCCAAGCAGCCAGTACCTCCTCCCTTTCGGAGGGAAACATCAATGCAGACTCTGATATTGCCCGTACAGGCCCTAGACTCAGACTGGTTGGACTGGGACCCGCCTAGACCTAGCCTGCGACTACTGGGCCTCTAAAAATGCCAACTTTGTCTTCTTCTGCTCGGCATCGAGAGTACCCGGCACATCTACCTCTACTTTGTGTGGTACCGGCCTACCTGCTACTTGAGTGTTTTTCCACTGCTCTAAGTCTCACGGGCCTCTATCCCCGCCGCATGAGTGTTTTCCCCCCTGCAACCCTCAATGTCACGGCCACAGGTAAGTACCGGCCCTTCAGGCCTGCTGCACGGACGAGGACCCTTGCGGATCACACACACACTCAAACAGACAAGCACTCAGACAGGCACACAGACCAGTAAGCACACACACACAGAGACTTAGAAAACTCAGCAACAAGCGGGAAACTCAGCAAGGCATACATTCCATTGGCAAAACTCAGAAATCAGCTGTGTTTTTCAGTCCTTGTTTGGCAGGTCCTTACACATACATTAATGGCGTAGTACGCACAGTGGCCTCGCTGTAGCGCTATGACATCGTCCGATTCTGCAGGTTGCGCGGGATTCGTTCGTGGCAGGGGGAGATCCGTTCAATTCTGTGATTGCACAGGTGGCGGAGACTCATTGGGGTCTTGATCAATCTATGTGCTTCGGAGAGAGATGATCTTCAATCGGGGGCTCTATCAGGTAATCAGAAGACGGGTCATTGCCACTTGGGGCAGGGGAGCTAGCGGGGCTAGGTGGATGACAGAGGGGTGGGTCAAGGGGGCGAGAACTGGGTGGACCAGATGCGGGAAGCGGAAGCTGATTAGCCGCACTTGTGCTCAGAGCGGTTGCTAATCGTGCAAACGCTGTGCATTTTCGGCTGTCCAGTCTCCTTGGCACTCCCTTCATCTGGGTCATATGCCGATTTGTCTTCTTCAAGATTTTATCTTCTCAATTGAATCGTTGGTCCCATACTGCAGTTATCAACAAGTGACTGCTCTACCCCACCACATGTGGCCTCTCTCTCTCTCTCTCTTTTTTCTTTTTCTTTTGGCACCAATACCTGACGTTTTCCATGCCACCGGCACAAAAGAATTCAACCTTCATTTAAAGAATGTTTTCTTTACAAAACTCTGCCCATTCTTCCTCTTCCTCAGAATGCGCATTTGAGACCTACCTCTCCCCATTTGAGACAACCATCCGTTGGCAGATACAGGTAACCAGACGACTTACCACTGCCTAGAGGAGAGAACATAAATACAAGGGGGCGCAGAGAAAGGAGAGAGAACCGAATGCTGAACTGGAGGGGCAGGAGAGGACAGGACCCGACCGAGATAGCATGTGACCAATCAACATGTAACCAAAAAAG